GCCTGAGTGGAGACTGGACACGTGGTCTGGGTGATGGTTTGGCGAAAAATACTTCATTAACTACACTAAGCCTTACATTCAACAACTGTAGTGACCCGAGTGGAGGCTGGACACGTGTTCTGGGTGATGGTTTGGCGAAAAATACTTCATTAACTACACTAAGTCTTACAGTCAACTTCTGCGGTGACCTGAGTGCAGACTGGACATATGGTCTGGATGATGGTTTGGCGAAAAACACGTCATTAACTACGCTAAGTCTTACATTCAACGGCTGCACTGACTTGGATGGAGACTGGATACGTAGTCTGGGTGATGGTTTGGGAAAAAATACTTCATTAATTACACTAAGTCTGACACTCAGCAACTACAGGGACCTGGGTGAAGACTTGGGACGTTATCTGGGTGATGGTTTGGCGGAAAATACTTCATTAACTACACTAAGTCTTACACTCAACAACTACAGTAACCTGAGTGGATACCGGGTACTTGTTCTGAGTGATGGTTTGGCGAAAAACACTTCATTAACTACGCTAAGTCTTACACTGAACAACTACAGTGACCTGAGTAAAGATTGGACACGTGATCTGGGTGATGGTTTGGCGGAAAACTCGTCATTAACCACACTAAGTCTGACACTCAACAACTACAGTGACCTGAGTGGAGACTGGCCACCTGATCTGGGAGACGATTTAGGAAGGAGCAAGTCATTAACAGTTGTCAATGTTACTGTAACCAGCACCTACATTAAAGTGAGTGAAGAGTGGTTGTGTGGTCTCTGTAACAGCCTGGCAGAAAGCGACAAAATAACTGCTTTGAACTTAACTGTTAATGACCACAGTGGTACAAGTGATGAAGTCGTTGCACTTGATCTCAGGAAACACTTTGCAGGTTGTAAGTCATCACCTTCTCTAAATCTAACAGTTAGCTTGTATGGAGAGGCTGTGGTGAGCTAAAAACTACAATATTCTTTGAGCAAAGGTCAATTTCTAATTCCAATCTGGCATTTGCGATTCTAGGTGCAGGTGTTGTTATGTTTGGTCACACACATGAATATGTTTTGTTTATTTGTTGAAATTCTTGACACTATTGTTTTGGTTAGGCAAGACAAAAAAAAGCTTTTCAACTTGTCAGTCAGCAAAGAGGAAGGCAAAATTTATTTATTCAATGTTGCCAAATAACTTTAGAATTGTATCTCGTCTAAAAGAATTTGAAGCTCTTTTGAAGTACATACAAAGTAATAACGATTTTTCTACAGCTTCAGTGCAATACGATTTTTCGAACTTCCTATAGGTATGGAAATTGCTTCAAATATCAGGAGGTTTGAAAGTCAAGGGCAAAATACTCCCAGCGTTTCTGTGAGGGAGCTAAAAATTGCTTCGAATAATCAGGAGGTTCAGAAAATCAGAATTCACAGTACTTCACGCGAATGACACTATGCAGTGGTTTCAAACATTCTTGCCGTAATATGGTGTAGTTTCTTAGCAAAACTTGTTTAGCTAAGCAGGTTGTTCTTGTCAGGCAGTGTAGTTTCGTTGTAGAATTTGTTGCATTNATAATCAGGAGGTTCAGAAAATCAGAATTCACAGTACTTCACGCGAATGACACTATGCAGTGGTTTCAAACATTCTTGTCGTAATATGGTGTAGTTTCTTTGCAAAACTTGTTTAGCTAAGCAGGTTGTTCTTGTCAGGCAGTGTAGTTTCGTTGTAGAATTTGTTGCATTGTTGAACAGGTTTCACGGTATATGAAATAGTCCATTGACCGAGATGTTTTGCTTTTTGCATTCTGGGACAGTTTCGGAAAAAGTGAAAGTGTTTTTACACTGGTGTAAACACTCTGATAGTCATCATCTTCAGGTCAAGTCCTGTTATTAAGCAACATCACTGGTGAAAATCAGAGGCTCATTCTATTCTCAGAGGAAGGATTGTGATTAAAGAAATTACTTGTTTTACTATTACTATGATGTTGTTATTAATGTTCCTGAAGGCTAGAAAATCCACTTCAAGTATAAAACAATTCATATTTAAACCAGTGCATCTTTTTTATCCCAGATTTGGTTGAGTTTGAAGAAAACAATTTCTACTGTAATGGACATTGTGTGCAGAATTTTTTGAAACCTTGGGGGGAGGGCTGTTGAAATGACTTCTCGCTTGAACCTCTCAGTACTTGCACTATAAAC